AGCAACGTCAGTACTCCCTCACTACCTCCCTCGAAGGTTTAAGTAAATAATCCCATGGCAGCTTAAAACAGGGTAGCTACCCCTGGTGTCAGGGTCATTACTATTTCCAGTCAACATCATAAAAACAGTTTATCTATTCATTATCATATCGTTAACCACACTCACAAATGTCAGTGGAATACAAATGTTAATCTGTGATGTTGACACAACCAACAAAGAATCTTTGTGGCTCTATACCTGGAAAAGAGGATTATGTGAATCACAGCCTTCTCAGTAGTATTTATTTTCAGTGTTCTTTAATAATTGTCAGAAGTCAGGAAGATTCCTTTTGTTTAATGGACAGGTTAATTGTCTATTAACACCCCCCACCCCACTCCTAACTCTGCTACAAGCCAAAAGCATCACATCTATAAAGAATTTATTTAGTTACTAATAAAGAACTCCTTAATTTAATCTATGAATTCTTTAGAACATCACTTATGTGCCTTTGTTCATAACAAAATATTATCTGCTCCCAAATGATTATGCATTTATATTTCTTGCACATAATCTTGCTGATACTATATATCTGTGTATCTACCTGCCAACTGGGAGGTTAAAGTCATGTTGATGATTTTCTGGAACAATAACTGTACAACAGAGAAGGAACAGTTTAGAACGTGGTCTATGTTAATTTAACCACAGTTATTTTCACACACATCTTTACATCCAGTCTCTAAATTCAGTAAATCTTTGAAAAGAGGGAGCGTTTCTTCTGATACAGGCAACATGCAAACTGCATGCTGTCTGCTCATTTAAACAATGGGAGTGTACAGTGAGTGCAGTGTTGTGTAGATGCCAGTGAGAGCCGGAAGTATTCAATCATGAGGATGCTAGCACAAGTTCAAGACCACCTGCCGTACTTAAAGCCAGCCTGCACCTCTGGCTGGAGCAAGTGCTGGTTCATTTCAAAGTTAGCTTATAGAATAGAAATGAAAACATCACTGCAACATAAAGTGTTGGTTAAATTGAACTGTGGCGTAATGAATAAGGCAGACTTAAAAATTTCCCATGAAGGGGTCTTTGGCTGTAAAAGTTTGAAAGATTTTTAAAAATGTTATTAAACATGCAGCTCCTTCACAATTTTCTAGACTGATCGGAAGCTCAGAACAGAGAAATAAGGAAAAAGAATAAACTGGGCTTTATTCAGCACAGGATAGACATTGTTGATTGGGAAGTACAATATAAGTTAACTGGTAAAGTCAACCAATCCTGGGAAAGATACATTCAAGCCTGCTAAAGGAAGAAGAATCGGGGGGGAAAAGACTACCAATCAGTGCAGTGAAAGCATTTGTGTTCATCTGTGCTCTACTCTGTTGACCTGCTTCACCTTTCAAATTACTTTCATCAACATGCCAGGGTGGCCCAAGAGCAAAGGCACTATCTATCTCTCAGGATCTGGATGCAGCGTCAAAGAGGTTCAATGAGTGGTCAGCATCATTGAATGAATCTTCAAATGCCAGATCCCACTAATTGTGCAGCTAGAATTATACATTGCTCAATGCACCAAACTTCCATCATTCTTTGTTAAATAGCTTGTCCTACTCTACATGCCCCCACTCAGTCTCCTCATCAGTTGTAGTCCAAGGGAATTGCAAACTATTGTACCCATGTTTGCAAGCAAGTGACCTTTGCAGAAACCTTGAAGTCTGGACAGAATCCTTCTGCATGTGCCAGGCTAGTCCCTGTTGACTTCAGCAATATTAAATAACTCTGGACAGGTTTAGCAAAAACAGACAACTGCAATGAGGTTGGCATTTTGAAAGAGTATGTTAATATATTCTAACCTAGCTGGTAAACAGAATGTAAGTGATATAGATTTTCTTTGTGTGGAGAATTTATTGACTACTCCAGTCAACAGCTCACTTCCCAGTCTCATCTTCCCGCTTTTTAGATCCAGACATCATTCAATTAATTTAACACCCATCACCTGTTTCCTTTCTAACCTTAACTATTTGATGTATTGACAGGTCTAAGTGTACTGGAAATCCCCATACATCACAAATGTGTTACACTTTTGCTGAAGTCCAGGATGAGCTAAGATTGGGGAACAATCCTGCACATGTACTCAAGCTTTTGCTTCCGGTGGTTATTTCTGCAATGGATATTCCATAGTTTAATATTCTTTGTCTGCACTTCAACTAAGCTTCATTATAACAGTTAAAGACCAAAATAGCTCATACAGATCACTGGAGTTTGTAGCTCCAATACTTTCCTGCCACATCCAACTGCATTCTGAACACACAGCACAGCAAGAGGCCCTTTGGTCCATCAAGACTGTGCCATCACATGATGCCTTTCTAAACTAAAAACTTTTGCCTCTGTGCAGTCCATATCCCTCTATTCTCTGACTATTCATAAGTCTGTCAAGATGCCTCTTAAATGTTGCTATTCTATCTGCCTCCACCACCTCCTCAGGTGTTATGAAGGAAAATTTAGCAGACAGATTTAGCAATAGTGAAGAAAGGGCGATACAGTCTCAAGTCAGGATAGTGTGTGGGTTGGAGGAAAACTTCCAAGTGTTGTTGTTCATATGCATCCTCTGCCTTTGTTCTTCTAGGTGATGGAGATGATAGGCTTGGAAGAAACTGTCAAAGAGTTTTGATGAGTTGCTGCAGTGTATCTTGCAGATATTACACTGTGCATTGGGAAGTGAGTGTTTATGGTTGTGAATGCAGGCTGCTTTGCACTGGGTCATTTCAAGCTTAAGTATTGAAAGAACTGCACTCATCAAGATAAATGGAGAATATTGCATCATACTCTGGACTTGTGCCTTGTAGATGGTGGGCAACTTTTGGGGAGTAAGCACATGAGTTACTTGCCTCTGAAGTATTGCCTCACAGTATTTATATGACTGGCCTAGCTCAGTTTCTCAACAATAGCAATCCCTATCAATGGCAATGTTGATGATAGGGATTAATTGATGGTAAATGTTGTTGAATATCAATGAGTTAGTTAGATTCTGTCTTACTGAAGGTGGTCATTGCCTGCCATTTGAATGATATAATAATGTCACTTGCTGCATCCAGGTCTTACTTAAGTGGCCATGGACTGTTTCAGTATCTGAGGAGTTGTGAAGTGTGCTAAATGTTTTTCTATCATCTGTGAACATACCACTTCTGATTTTATGATTGAGGACAGATCACTGACAAAGCAGCTAAGATGACAGGACCTAGGAAGAAATCTAGAGAAACTCTTGCAGTGATGTTCTGGAATGATAAATATATGGATGATGCTTTGAATGACAGATAGCAGAGGAAGGGAGTAGAGAAGGAAGTGATTAAAGTTAGCAGTAGTCGGTCTTTGTGAGAAAGACTTGGGGAAACTCATGGTCAATTTGGAATTGCATCAATCTGATTCGGTCTAATACAGTGATCAGAGACAATGGGGAGAATTGTTGTGAATATATCGAGTTTGTGCACATTACTGAATACAATGGCTTCAGTCTTCTTAATGTTTAACTGAGGAAACCACAACCTCTTGAAAACTGCAAGACTGACCACAGCACAAGCAGGAAAGCAGCTGACTGCTGTATAAATGCATGAGCAGAGGGGCAAGTTACATGGATAACTGGCATTATGTTTCTTGTTGGGTTCACTTAGACAAACAGAGGTTTATGTTTGCAACACAGTAATGGTGAATTCTCTCCATGTGTAGTGTCTTGCCTTTTATACAAATTAAATGCCATTTTTTATAAGGTTTTGTTGAAGTGCTGTATAATGCAAGTTGTTATTCTCCATGTCTCCACTAATTTTTCTCCCCTAAAGCTTGTGATCCTGGGATACATTTCTTTAGAACCAGATGGCCCAGTCAGGCAGCTAAGTTGAGTATTCATGGATTACTCGTCATTGTGATGCAGTTGGGAGGAGTGCAATGCAGTCACTGTTAAACCCAGCCTTCTCCTAACTCTGTTTCCAATCTCCACAACTGAGTGTTCAAGCAGGGATCACAGGTCAGCGGTTAGGAACAGAAACATGAACTAATTTTCCTCCTGTCCAAGGTAGGAATAATGGATATTACTGATGTATAAAAGTACAATACAGACAGTTACAGCCATCTTGGGTTATAAAAGGAGAAAATCAGCCAACATATTTCCCCTCTTGCATCTTAACAAGTAGCTGGTTGAGAATGGGATTTGGTTCAGCTATTGTGGCCCATGTGGTTAAATAGCTTGTCACTGCTGAAGTCAAAGTTCAGGTGAATAAGGGCAGAGTGCTAGAGGTCACTAGCGGCACCCATATAACTATACCTCACCAAGGAATCAATACTTTAAGCAAAGAGAATATTGATCTGGATAACACATTGACTTCCCTCACCTCACACGCAGACACCTCGCTCCCAACATAATGTCCTAATCCGTTTGCTTTGCCTCGTTACTATAACCAACATGTTTTTAAACAACACGAGTTAAATGAAACAATTTTTAAATTTAAAGCAAATCCTTAGGATTAAAGTTACAGCAGCACCTCCCCCCCCCCAAAAAAAGGCATATTCCTGAAAATTGTTAGAAATCACTAAATTAACTGTCTTGAATGAATAGTTTATTTTGAATTAAATCTGCGGAAGGCAATTCTTACTGTTTGATATTGAAAAGCGATTAAATGAAATGTCAATAAAATTTAAACAAGCTTTTGACCATTACTAAGCTCGACATTAGACTAGGAATTCGTTTAGGAATAAGTTTACAGGGCAGGTGTTTTGTAATACGTGAACATTAAAAAAAAATACGAATGTCCCTCTCATTATGGACACGCGCAAAAGAAATGAGTAACTGTTTCTTTCCAGTTTTATATGTTACAAATATTCTTGACTTCTTGACAATGAAACCACAAACCACATTTCAATGAGTATGACTTTTATATATAATGTGTGGTGTATAGCATATTCACCTCTGCAGGTTACAAAGAATTTCCAGATTGATATAAAGGGTTAATTCTGTTTTTGTGTAAGATGCTCCTTACCCTGAGCTACTGCCCCTCCTTGTTTCTCCATCCAGACAGTCTGACTCGATCCCACCTTCCTGCAAGCACCATCAGAAGGGAAGAGAAAAGGCGAGTCCGTAAGAATACCGCTGTAGTACCAAAGATCAACGCCACCCGGATCTCAAAGCACGCATCTCATTTCAAAAACCTGAGCATTGCACCAGCACACACTCAAAAAAAACAATGCAATGCAAGCATATCAGATTGCAAATTGGGAGATTACAGTGCAAAGTAAGCATTGCATTGCAAACGAGGAGAGGGGACTGCAGACGGTCTCTGGCAACCAGCCCAGAGAAACTGTGACTGGGGTGTACCATTCAAAACGGTATCTCACTCAATGAATCACATAATTCCTCACTAGTATTGCGGACGAAATCTGAATGAATTTAGTTACACATCGTGGTATCATGCAGAAATAGAAAGAAATTGCAGCTTTTCAACGTAAAACTACCAATAATTCAGATGGACTACACCATCTTTTGTTACATTGTCCCACAGGGATATTTTCTAACATTGTCTGTGGCGCTTTTTCTGATAGTTTTCCCTGGTAAAAATGACTTGTGTTAAACATAATGTCTGATCAGAGGTCAGCTTATTTCCCAATTAGAGCTGAAAGTCACAATCACTATAGTTTCAATTCGAAACCCTTCAATAAAAAAATGCTCAATATTTTTCAGGACCAGCGCTATAATATAAATTGGTGGCTGGAGGGGGGTGGGGAAAAACTAATATGCAGCACCTTTCCACAAGTACTGTTTTGAGTGAACATGTGGACTCTTAAGTTACATGTAGAAGTTAATAGATTGTCCGTATGGTGTGGAGAGGAAGACAGTTTGAAAAATAATCTGATTTTACTGCAAAGAGTGTCTGCAGGGGCTAAATTGTTTGGAAGAACATATGAAGCCAATAATAAAGTTAAGGTTAGGGTTTCCTAAATGTTGATTTGCAAAACTCATGCATCTAATGACCCAAGCAATCTGGTAGTTACTTGACATGACATGTTTCACGCTATGTTCTTGCTCTCCCTCCTTTTGGTTTATCCTAAAAGCAATTACTGTAAAGACCTTTATTGTACTTTATCATACTTTTTTTTACTGAGGTGGTTAGAGTTAATCAGACAAATACCACCTGCACACAATGTATCAATAAAATGCTGTTTTGTTTAGTCATGAATGAGACGTGGATATTGCTGGCAAGAACATCATTTAATGCCCATTCAGTAGTGCCCTCGATAGGTTGGTGGTAAATCATCTTCTTGGATTGCTGCAATCCGTAATGGGAAAGTACTCCCTTATATATTGATGGTGATATTTTCCAAGTCAGGACCGTGTAAGACATGAAGGTGATGGTGTTCCTGCACATTGCTGCACTTGTCCTTTTAGCAGGTGCAGGTTGAAGGTTGGAAAAGCAAGGTGAGTTACTGGATTGAATTTTGCACTCTGTAGCCACTTTGAACCATAGGTGAATAGGGTGACTGTTCAAGTTGTTAGATGCAACGTCAATCAAACAGGTACCTTATTCCTAAATGGTGTTGGACTTCTGAATGTTGTTGGAGCTTTACTCATGAAGGCAAGCGAACAGTATTCCATCACATTCCTAAGTTGAAATGTGTAGCCAGGAAGTTGGGGTCGACAATCAATTTTGAGGACTTCTAAAACCACTCCCTCCCAATTTGTACCACTGTGCTGCCCTACTGGTGGAATAAAACATAACTGGAGATGATGATGGCAGAATATCAGAGAATCCTAGAAATTTACAGCATAAAATGGGACCATTCAGCCCATTAAAACCTACTGTGCCGGAGGAAAAAACCAAGCATACAACCGTAACCAATTTTTAGTTCTTAAATATCCTAAATATATATCCTATAGTTCTAGCATAATCTACTTGCTGTTACATTCTATGCCTTAACTCATAAAGGAGAATATCCAGTATGGTTTCTCAAGGACCTTATCTCCCTGGCCTACTACCAGGTCACGGATTAGTGGACATCTACTCCAGATCCTCTGCACTTCTTAGTATCCTACCATTTCTTGTGTATTCCTTTACCTTGTTTGTCCTTCCTAAATCCATTATTTAACATTCTCCAGAACTGAATTCCAATTGCCACTTTTCTGCCCACCTTACCAATCCATTCATATGTTTCTACAGTGTACGTTTTTCTTTCCCACTTTCAACCAAATGGTCAACTTTTGTATCATCTGCAAACTTGCTTCTGACATTTAAGTCCACATTGCTACTATATACAGTGGAAAGCTGGAGGTCTGCAGAACCCCACAGACTGTGGTTATTGACTGGAAGATATGATTCCAGGAGTATAATTGTATTGTTTCATTGCTGATTAGCATATTAAAGATGTTCTTTTAGCAATCAAATTTACGGTAAGAAAAATCTGTCTTTTCTGACACCAATGCATACTGTCTCAAGTGTTTATATCTTATGCCATGAGTTTGTATTTCAGTCCCCAGATTTTTTTTCTAGTATGTAACATCTGCTGATTATTTATTTTCATGCTGTCCTGTGTTGCCTCCAGCTTTGAATCTTTGAACAGAAACATATTTTTTATCTAACTATTTCCAAACATAAAGTGGTATTCTCAGGGAGAAACATGAATCATTATAACAACACTTTGGAGCAGTCTAAGCTGTTACCCTTGGTAACAACACTACGTGGAATGTGACAGACTGTAAATCTGTTGGAATCAAGAATACTATTTGTGAAGTAGTTGCCCCAATTGCTGTTACTGCTGTCAGACGGTGTGTTAAGATTTAAATTCTTCAAAAACAAAAATGTATGCGAGAAGATGGTGAGGAGTTATTTTTTGCTTTCACTTAGTCACAGGCTAAGGATGTGACTCAGCCCTAAGGCACTGTTTGATTTTCTGATTTTTCAATTTACACAAAGATGGCTTCTGAGTTTATTTAAAGCAAGGGAAATAAAACAAATATAAAAAGCAAAGACAAAATCAGTTACCCGACCAGTAAAGTGAAAACTTAAAAATGAGAATGTATCTATGGGGGTGATAATTGTTTCAGGCAACATTGTGTATCCTGTGCTATAAAGTAGAAAGACATCTAACTGGTACCCTGAGTTTCCTAGTTGACAGGTTCTTTAGGATAAGTGAAAGGCAACGAATGAAAATGACAGAAACAGCGGCTCATCCTAACAGAGGTGTAACAACAGCATCACTGCTGTGGTGATGACTGACTATATCTCTATAGTAACAATTAAAGAAAGAGGAGTCATTTAGAAACACTGAAACATCAAGCTGCGATCATCAATATTATACTTTTTTATTTTGAAATTATTTCACATTTCTATTGTGAGGAATTATTTTCTTTTCTTGGTTTTATAAAAGCCAACAGCAAGAGCAGAAATGTATACTTAGCAGAATCTAAAGAATTTCAGTATTATTTCTTTTCTATCTCCTTAAATTCATAATCAATGAAATACTCATTAATCTGTGTGCCAAATTATCCAATATAATTGTTTTGGAAACAGCAGTGCACTGTTCTTGGTGAAAATTCATCTGACACTGAGATTGATTAACTGAAATTGCACAAATTGTAATCGGTAAGCAAAATGCAGCTGCTCCTGTGAGGTCAAGGCCTACATCATTTACCAGCCATTAATTTCAACGTGAACCCTGAATTGGCTGTGTTGACTTTCAAGTATAAATTTTGGATTTGGACCTCTTCCGCATTAAACTCTGTACTAGGTATACTCATTTGTAAAAATAAAGTCTGTGCTGTGAAGGATACTCATAGCTTAGCCTCAATAATAAAGTAACTTCACACATCCAACCTTTTTATCTACAGCAAATTAAATTGGAAGATAGCTTACATGTTTCTTTGTCTGTTTCAAAGATTTGCTTGTTTTGTATTTTTGGATCCAGAACCATTTAGTCCCGAACCACTCAATGACTGTGTCACAATTGGGTTAAATAATTTGAACAGATATGCAAATAAAGAAAATTTAAAATGCTATTCTTCAACTACTGTGAATGAAGGAACAGCTTTCTACTATAGGTGAAGGTGTTATGAATATGGATGTGCGTTAATGGATACACGTTTATTTTCTGCATAAATGTTGTATATAAAAACATAATGTACAAAAATCCAATTGATACAGCTAAAACTGTTAATGGTTTAGATAACGCTGCAATAATTTGTGAATAATGCAGCCACAATCATTGGGCACATTGCCTCTTCTGTGCATAAAAGACCTACATCACTTGGGTTTAGTATAGGAGCCCGATTTGCCTTAATGGTAGCATTCAAGCCTTTGGGCCAGAAGTTTCAGGCCTCCGTGCAGGCAAATCCTAGATGGGACTTTGATGCAATTGTAAGGATGTGGCACTTTTTGAGTGGAATGTTAACCAGCTAATTTCTGCCCCTCAGGGCAGTTGGACAAAGAGCTTCCTTCTGTGTTGTACAATTATATGATAATAACGATGACTGTATGTTAAAATTGTTATTCACTAATTATTAAGTGATGCGGACTCTTTTCATAATAATGCCACATTCATGCCCTCACTTCTGAATGAATAAGTTAAAAGCAGGAAATCATAGTTGAAATTGAATTTGAACTTACATTTAATGAAGACTGTGATACCTATGTGTTCAGTCAGCATTATTTTCATGTGCATGCTAAAGTAAATGTGTTAGCAGTAGTTACAACATCCAGGCTTGACAGCTGATTGTGATTACATCAGGGCAAAGAAATATGATCAGATTAATTACACGATGGCATAATAAATAATTTATTTTTCAGTTGTAAAAAATGTTATTCCCCAACACCCATCACAGACTATATTCAAAATCAGCAAGGTTTATGTTAATCCCCCTATCCTTATTTGAATCTGTTTCTAAGCAGCTGGTCCTTTCCCAATATGAGTAATCGACAGATATATTTAATAGCACATACATTATAAAGTAAGAAGATCTTATGTACATTGAAACTATTTTAGGTTCTAAAATTAACTCAGAATGATTGAAAAGAATACATGATTTGAAATATTCTCTAACAGGATTTGTTATTGGCTTTAATTAGAAACCTTATTTAATTGAAACCTTTGTTGCCTGCTCATGGGATACATATTGCAGCTGCCCCAGAATCGGAATTGCATGCTGATAATTAAGCTGTCTGCTGGCACTGGCAGCTGATGTCCCAGATCTGTCCACATAAGAAAGGAAACGTTGCACAATTGTCTCTGTTCCTACTGAGCAGATCCTTAAAGAGGTGGAAGTTGGAG